GTGATGTTACCGATGTTGTTGATGAGCTTGACGAAGAAGAAGTTGTGGATTTAGATGAGATTGATAAACTAACTGGATTAACCGAAGCCTCTGATGAAGATGATTGGGTAGATGAGGAAGGTAACCCTAGGATCAATAAGAAGAAGGAAATTGGGTCTGATCATCAATTCGAGTTCGATTTGGATGATTTTGGTGGATCTAAAGTGAGAATTGTGGAACCTAAATTCAAATTGAGCTTAGCTGAGCTTTTAGATGAGAGCAAAGTGGTACCAATCTCTGTTTACGGCGATTTAGACGTCGAAATCACCGGAATTCAGCAGGATTCTCGAGGTGTAAGCGCCGGAGATCTCTTCGTGTGTTGTGTTGGAAGTGAGAAGGATAAAGATTCCATCTTGAGTGAAGCTGACAAGAGAGGAGCAGTGGCTGTTGTAGCTAGCAAAGAGATTGACATTGAAGACACTTTAGGTTGCAAAGCACTTGTGATCGTTGAAGACACTAATGCAGTTTTAGCAGCATTAGCTTCTTCGTTTTATAGGCATCCGTCGAAGAACATGGCGGTGATCGGAGTTACAGGAACGAATGGGAAGACGACCACTACGTATTTGATCAAAAGCCTCTATGAAGCAATGGGTGTGCGAACAGGAATGTTTACCACAGTTTCTTGTTATATCCATGGTGATAACAAATTGGATTCGCCTACTACGAATCCTGATGCGGTTTTGGTTCAAAGTTTGATGGCTAAGATGTTGCATAACGGAACTGAAGCTTTGGTTATGGAAGCTTCTCCTCAAGAACTTGCATTAGGGAAATGTGAAGAAGTTGATTTCGACATTGCAGTTTTCACAAATTTGTCAAGAGAAGATACGGATTTTCGTGGTACCAACGAAGAGTATAGAGATGCTGAAGCCAAGTTGTTTGCAAGAATGCTTGATCCGGAAAGGCACAGGAAAGTGGTTAACATAGACGATAAGAATGCAGCATTTTTCATTAAGCAAGGAAATCCTAAAGTTCCGGTTGTGACATTTGCCATGGAGAACAAGAAGGCCGATGTTCACCCGTTAAAGTTTGAGCTTTCGTTGTTTGAGACGCAGGTTTTGGTTAATACCCCTCAAGGTATACTGGAGATCTCTTCGGGTTTGTTAGGACGGCATAACATTTATAACATTCTTGCTGCTGTTGCTGTCGGGATTGCTGTTGGAGCTCCTCTTGAGGATATTGTAAGAGGTGTTGAGGAAGTCGATGCTGTCCCGGGAAGGTGTGAATTGATTGATGAGGAACAAGCTTTTGGTGTTATTGTGGATCATGCGAACACACCTGATGGCTTGTCAAGGCTGCTAGATTCAATTCGAGAGCTTAAACCGAGAAGAATCATTACCGGTATATAAATGTTCTTCCACCCATTTAATGCTTCCTTACTCATTCCTGTAGTTCTTATATCTGGATCATCTGATTATTTTAGCTGGCTTTTTTTGTTGAAGTTATCGGGTGCGAGGGCGAGAATGAGAGAGGCAAAAGACCGGTTATGACAAAAATCGCAACTGAAAAGAGCGATGTGACGATGTTGACATCTGATAATCCAGGGAATGAAGATCCATGTAAGTAACTCTGAGATTAGCTCGAGTCTATAAACCTTGAGTGTGTCCAGGTATATTAACAGTTAAGAGTAAAATTCCCCATTTGGTTTTAGTGGACATCTTGGATGATATGTTGTCTGGGATTGGATGGACGATGCAAGAGTATTTGAAACATGGCGAACACGATTACTATCCGCCTTTGGCAAATGGTCATAGACTCTTCCTGCACGATATCAGACGTGTAGCTGTGCGTTGTGCTGTAGCTATGGGTGAAGAGGGTGACATGGTTGTAAGTATTCAGTACTACCCACTCTATTTAGAGTCCTCAATGTGTTACCAAAGTTGATGTAAATCCTTTACAAGCAATCTCAGCTTTGACGTAATATAATCTGATCTTACCTTTGCTTCACATTGCTCTGTTTTTGCAGGTTGTAGCAGGGAAAGGCCATGAAGCATATCAGCTTGAAGGTGGTAAAAAAGAGTTCTATGATGATCGAGAGGAATGCCGGGAAGCATTACAATATGTCGATGAGCTTCATCAAGCTGGAATAGACACAAGCGAGTTCCCATGGCGGTAAGTGGAACCATAACAGTTCTATCTTTTTCTAGATGATAAAACAACAGACGATAACCCGAGATTCTAATATTTGAGAATTGCTGAAACGTCTCAAGATGCTTCCTGATCACTATTTGTTCTTTCCTTCTATTACTCTGCTTCTTCAGGTTACCAGAGAGTCATTAATATCTCTGTGGTGAGATCATTAGAACATAAGTTAAGCTTATTAGCTAGTCCATGAAATCAGATTAACTTCCACCGCGGCTCAATCCTCGTGCAAAGATCGATTTCCCAAGAGCTCATGACTTCTACACAAGAGACCTGGAGGTATCTATCTAATCTTGTGAGTCACCATTACCTTAAAGATATCGAAATGGCAAATTCGGCTAAAATTTTATCAGATTATGAGAGGTTGAAAATGGAAACAGGTATAAGTGTTGCTTGGAGGATTTAAGAGTTTTCTTTGTCATTGTTACTGCAG